CCAGTTCTCTACGCACTTATGAAACCAGGCGGTGTTCATGGCTGAAACGAACACAACAATGAGAACCAAAGACGGTTAAGGGTTGATTGTGTGACTTATGGTTGTCTAGGTATACACCAAAGATCGACGGTTCAAAGATATCAAATCTACCGATTGACCGAGTATATCCGACATAAGTTTACTACGGAAAGTTCAAAGGGAAACCTACTTATCCAGATGCAATTAATCCTTGCTTGTAAATCACACAGTTTTTCATGCATACTTCCGTGATATAGCCATTCCCCATTCATGTGGGGGATTGTTGAGGTTTTTTTTTTAAGATGTAATATTCTTAAAATGAGGGTGAATGGGAAATGGAGGGAAAATGAAATTTTGAGTAAAATTTTAAGTTTCCCCCTCTTAACAATGAGACATTGTCCCATATTGGAAGTGGAAGACATTTTTGGTGGGTATATATATAATTGCTCTTCTTGTAGCTCTTAAAGAGTTAAGAAGAAAGCAAGCCTCGCGCCGTCGTCGTCGTCGCTCGCTCGTCTCGGCTTCGGCTACGGCTACGGCTTCGGCTACGGCTTCGGCTTCGGCTTCGGATTCGGATTTGGATTTGGATTTGGATTTGGTCAAATGATCGATTGATTGATTAATTTTTTGGACCAAATTTATTTGTTAATAGTAAATATTAACGTAAGATTATCCGTATTTGTAAACGGATATTTTCCAATCCGTGTATTGATAATTTGGCAGCCGGATAATGGTCTTCCCACCATGAAGTGCTTGCTCCACAAACATGAAGTGCTTGCTCCACAAACATGTAATGCTTGCTCCACCATGAAGGGTGGACGTTTGGTCTTGCACTCCTTCTTGGCTGCTATATATATGAGCAGCAAATGTTGAAGAAAGATACTCAACTCAACATACAATTCGCTCAACAAATTGGCTATACATTGCATTCCTTCCTCTCAGAACTTCCATACGTTTTTCTGAGTATATACTCCTTCGTTCTGCATTGTTTTTAACTTCAAACAAAGCAACTGTAAGTGTGATTTGCTACCGAACTTTGTGTTCGCCGAAACACTGGGGTTTGAAGTACCGCTACACCAGTGTGTTATTCGTTCTATCCTGGGAGGAAATAATCCATTACCTTGGGTACTAGGAGGGGATTAAATTCCTTAAGGAAACACTGTGAATTCAGTGGGCTCGAATTTATTATTATTGTTTCATTACGTTAACTTATATTTTGCAGAAATAATATTTACAAATACAGGAATATTGACCGGGAATAACAAATTTTCATGACATTTGTCATGACCTAATATTCATTATAATAAATTTGTGGATCATGACATTTGCCATGACATAATATCCATTATTAGGCCAAGGATTTCTTGCTATAAATAGAGGAGATTCTCCTCATTTGAAAACACACCAATTCAAGAGCTTTTCACTCTTGTCTTTCTTTCTCCTCCTTTATTTCATTAGAGTATTTTGTAAAAGAGAGAGTGTTGGGAAACACTTGTGTGAATCCTTTCTTTGGAGTGATCTTGTGAGGTTATTCTCTTAGGATATTTGGGATTAATTAGAGTATTTACTCTAATTTTGTACTCTCTTTTGTACTCTTGTTGGTATAGTAAAATTGCTCTTCTCCGCTTGTGGACGTAGGTCACCTTGACCGAACCACGTTAAATTTGTGTCTTCTTTATATTCTTTAATTGTCATTATTATCAACTTCCATTGTCTTTGTTATTGTCATTATACCGTTGTTTGGCTAAATTTCGCACTACCCGAGTTTCCGATCTTAACAAATTGGTATCAGAGCCAGATCTAACCGGGTTAGTTTAAATAGCCAAAATGACTCTAACAAAGTCTTATGTTGAGAAATTTGACCGAAGTGTAAACTTCAGAATGTGGCAATTAAAGATGGAAGCTATCCTAATTCAGGATGGCTTAGATTTGGCACTGTAAGAAAAGGAGAAGATGCCGGATAAAATGACGGACGAGGAGTTTGCCGTCATAGACAAAAAGGCAAAAGCATGTATTATTTTAAATCTTTCAAATGAGGTTTTGCGTGAAGTTGCAGCAGAAAGCTCAGCCAAAGGCATATGGGGAAAGCTTAAAACCTTATATACGAAAAGAACAGTAGTAAACAGGCTTTACCTAAAGCAAAAACTCTACACTTTTTGTATGGCTGAAGGTACCTCTATACTTACTCATCTTGATACTTTTTATTCTCTTCTTATGGATTTAAGTAACATAGATGCTGAAATCAAATATGAGGATCAATCTGTGTTATTGCTTGTTTCCTTACCCCAGTCGTTTAAACATATAAGAGATACTATGCTTTATGGAAAGGATAATATCTCTTATAAAGATATCAAATCTATTTTGAAATCAAAAGAACAAATGATAGAGATATTACTGGAGAAACTAGTGGGAACCAAGGGGAAGGCTTATTCATAAGAGGTAGATCCAATAAGAAAGATTCAAGTAGTGAGGAACCTAAATCAAGGTCAAAATCCAGATACATAAATGGCATGTGTAAATATTGTCATAAGAAAGGTCACATTATTTCCGAATGCTTTAAATTGAAAAACAAAGAAAAGCATACAGAAAAGAAAAATGAGCACAAAAATACTGACATTGCCGAAGCAAGTGTAGCTGCTAATGAGACTGAGGGAACTATTTTTTTAGCAACTAATAATAGTTTCAAATCTAACAACGAGTGAATTTTAGATTCGGGTTATTCTTATCATATGTGTCTCAATCGGAATTTATTTACCACATATGAATCTATTGGAGGTGGAGTTGTCTTGATGGGCAACAATGATGTCTGCAAAGTTATTGGAAAAGGTACAGTCCGAATCAAAATGCATGATTGGCCAAGGATTTCTTGCTATAAATAGAGGAGTTTCTCCTCATTTGAAAACACACCAATGCAAGAGCTTTTCACTCTTGTCTTTTTTTATCCTCCTTTATTTTATTATAGAGTATTTTGTAAGAGAGTGAGTGTTGGGAAATACTTGTGTGAACCCTTTCTTTGGAGTGATCTTGTGAGGTTATTCTCTTGGGGTATTTGGGATTAATTAGAGTATTTACTCTAATTTTGTACTCTCTTTTGTACTCTTGTTGGTATAGTGAAATTGCTCTTCTCCGCTTGTGGACGTAAGTCACCTTGTCCGAACCACGTTAAATTTGTGTCTTCTTTATATTCTTTAATTGTCGTTATTATCAACTTCCATTGTCTTTGTTATTGTCATTATACCGTTGTTTGGCTAAATTCCGCACTACCCGGGTTCCCGATCCTAACAAATTATACTTGAATAGCCAAGTGCAAAGGTATAATTCTCAGTTTAGTCTAACTCTCTGCTTCATAAGTACAGATATATCATACGTTTAATCTATAGCTGAGTCGATTAAAAAGTATAAAAAAAACTGAAAATGACACTTTTCGTCCTGAAAAAGCTTAGAGCCAGAAAAGCTAAAAAGTTGAAGTACATTGATATTCGGCTTAAAATATGTATATTTATGTGCATATTGCCTCACATTTTACTCATGGTTCGTAAATTTTGGATGTGTAATGTAATGACTTATGCTAATTAGTGGTACTTTTATGTATAGGAATCGTGGTGCGTGAATTGAAGCGAAAAGGGAAAGAAATGAGATAAAGCCACAAAGTAGCGCCACAGGTAGCGTGGGGCGCTACCTGTGGCACAGTTTCCAGAAGTTCAAAATTCCCAGCGCCCCACGCTACCCTAGGCACTGGGTGACAAGAACTTGTCCTATTTCGCCTGGGACTTGGTTATTTCGACCCAAGATGCCCCCAACTCATATAAAAGCAAGTCTAAACCTATTTTGGAGGGAGAGACACCACTTTGAGAGAGAAACACAAGTACGAAACACTCGGGAGCACGAAATTCATCAATTCTTCCATTCTTCTTCTAGTATTCATAGCTTTTATGTTTGAAAATAATATTTTGATGATTGTTATGAACATAGTGGCTAAGAACATCATTATTCCGGGGCTATGGGTCATTCTTGACTATTGTAAATTGACGATTGATTGTTTTGCTTGACTTTTATCATAGCAATTTGTTTATTCAATCTTGCACTTAATTGTTCTATTGCGTAGCTAACAATAGAGTACTCTATCTATGAATTTATAGTTGAACTCGAAAGTGGAAACTATAGATTATATATAAGGTTGAATAGAGTAATTTCTTGAATCCGGACATCGGAGAATAGATTCGTGATTAGGATAGACATATTCTAGTTGCGTTACTTGGTTATTTTTGCAGGAAATATACATGCGTTCTTATCAAGTTTGATTCTATAGACATATAGTCTTAGGTTGGCTTGAATAGGCGAGCGAAGCATCGAAAGAATTTCGCGAGCATAATAAACCCTGCTAATCAATAAATTAGATAAGTCAAGTCATTACATCTACCCGAAAAGCGCAATAGGAGAGACATTAATCCCATAACCCTGGAATATCCCCATCTCATTGAATTCTTTCTAAGTGTTTGTTTGCTCTACTTGCGATCTTATTTTCTTGCTTGTTTATTAGTTCGTGGTAATTTAGTTACAAAAATCACAATCATCTTCTTAACACTCATTTGAGCATTAAATTTATAAATAGCTTATTGAAAAATAGTTGATCATAAATTCTCGCGGGAACGATACTTTCTCATCACTTTATTACCTGTCGATCTCGTATACTTGCATGTGCGTTTGGATCCAATAAGTTTTTGGCACCGTTGCCGGGTATTTAGAAATTAGTTATTTGTCTGAAACTAGATCTTATTTGTTTTTGTTCAAGTGTTAATCTGTTTGACTATTTCTGACTCTACAGGTGTTCACCTTGAACGCTAAGAAGAACCAACAGTTTGAACAACCTTCCTCCTCCTAATCTTGAACCAGAAAGACTTTTCCACAGGTAAAGAAGGGAGGCAGAAGAAAGAGTAAGAATTACAAAGTTGGGTATTGTAGTCCAACCACGGCCAATCGAGATGGTAGAAAATGAAGAAATACCGGTGATTGAGGCAGCAAGGCCTAGTCTCGTGAACATGACTCAGGCTATCGTGAAGCTTGATATAATTGGGCACTTTGAGCTGAAGCAGTACATGGTGCAATTGATTCAATCCACATGACTATTTGTGGGATTTTCAAGTGAAGATCCCCAAAGGCATATATAGAATTTCTTGGAGATTACGGATACATATAACTATCCGAACGTCTCTAAGAACTATGTCATATTTAATTTATTTCCCTTTTCTCTAATGGGGGAAACAAAGGAATGGTTAAACAAGGAGCCCACAAACTCGATCCACACTGGGGATGATCTGGCACGAAAATTCATAATAATATTTTTTTCCACTAAGAAGACAAAGGTACTGAAGAGCCAGATTCTTGGGTTTCAACAAGGAGATGGTGAGACTCTTCGTCAAGCTTGGGAAAGATATAAGAAACTACTTAGAGACTGCTCATATCGTTGTCAAACTGATGAGGTGTTGGGACATACTTTTGTGGATGGACCAGACGAGACCTCCAAATTAAATCTAGACTCAGCTTGTGGAGGAAGTTGCATGCAAAAGCCATACAGTAAGATTCAGACTTTGCTTAACAATTTCACTGCAAATAATCATAACTGGCAAGGTAAGGGTGACGCAAGAAGGATGATAAAACAGAAAGCAGTAGGTACAATTAAACTGGATGAGATGTCAGCCATGCGAGCAGAAATTTCTAAACTTACCAACCAAGTGGCTAATATAGAAATGGGTCAAGGGCATCAAATGCAGCAGGTTCAGAGGATGACCATATATTATGAAATTTGTGGAGAAGGTCACACGAGTGACCAATCTTCGGTAAATCCAAAATCTATTTATTATATGGGCTAGCAGAGTAGAGGTCCAATGAAACAAAATGCACAATATGTGAATACTTATAATCCCAACTGGAGAAACTACTCGAATCTCTCATGGGGTGAAAATCAGGCTAGTCAAAATCAATACAGACCCAAAGAAAACTACAATCATCCCGAAAGGTCACCACAACAGGTAGAAGAAAGCACTAATAATATGTTGAAGAAGCTATTGATTGACAACCAACAACTTCAAACAGATAATCAACAATTGAGAACTGGATTTCAAAATATAGAGAAGCAGATTACGCAGTTGGCTGCACTACAAAATACCCGACCAACAGGGGCCCTTCCAAGTAATACAGATAAGAATCCTCATGTGAATGCTCTAACCTTGAGGAATGGTAGAGAATTAGAAGAAATACCAAAAATAAAGAAAGTAAAAGTCACTCATAAGGGCGAACTAGTTCCTCAAACTGTGGTGGAAACTGAGAAAGAAATTGAAGAAAGTGAAAAGACTCTAATTGAAAGGCCACCACCTCCCTTCCCATAAAGATTAAAGAAGAAAAGTGATGACAGGATGTTCAGCAAATTTCTTGATATGTTGAGCTAAATTCAATTGAATCTCCCATTGGTTGATGTGCTACATGAAATCCCTAAATATGCTAAGTACATCAAAGATACTATGGCTAACAAAAGGAGGTTGACAGAGTTTGAGACAGTGGCACTTACTGAGGAGTGCAGTGCTAGGGTACAGAGTAAGCTCTCGCATAAGTTGAAGGATCCCGGTTGTTTTACAATCCCCTTGGTGATTGAAAAATACGAGGTTGGTAGAGCCTTGTATGATCTAGGAGCGAGCATTAATTTGATGTCACTATCAGTATTCAAGCAGCTGAATCTTGGAGCCCCCAGGCCTATTACTATAACTCTACAGCTAGCATATCGGTCATTAGTAGTGCCTAAAGAAATTATTGAAGATGTGTTGGTGCGAGTAGGGAAGTTCATCTTTCCTGCAAATTTTATTATTCTTGACTACATGGTTGACGAATAGGTTCCAATTATTTTGGGGCGGCCATTCTTGGCCACTGGAAGGGAACTTATTGATGTGAAGGAGGGTAAGCTAAAGATGAGAGTGCATGATGAAGAAATCACATTTAATGTGTACAAGGCGCTTAACCTTCCTAAGCATTATGAGGAATTGTTCATGATCTTTGTGGTAGAATCAAAGTTGATAGAGCAAGGTTATTATGTGGAGCCTACTGGCATGGAAAGAAAATCGAGTTAGAAGAAATGGTGTTGCGAACTAAATGTGTAAATGTAAAAGAGAAAATGGTTAGAGAGGAAAGAGAAGAGCCTCCTAGAGCGCGCAAGAAAGAAAAACTCCATGGAAAGAAAAGGAAGCGGAAGCTCTCAGCTTGAGCAGAGTCGTGCCACGACTATAAATAAGGCGCTTGTTGGGAGGCAACACAGCATGTACTTTATTTATTTTTTATTTTTAGTGTTGTGTTTTGTTTGTTTTTATTTTGCAGATTAGAGAAAGTCTAGGTACCCGAAGTTGAAGTTGAGGAGCATGTTGAGCTTAAGTGTGGGGTCGTCCTGACCCTTGTTTTAATATTTTTCTATATGATCATGCATCGAGGACTATGCATATCATAAGTGTGGGGTGGGAGAACTACTTTCTAACTTGTAATTGTATAAAACTATTTTTTTTATTAGTTTTATTTTAGAACCTATAGTTAGAAGTAGTCTAGTTTAGAGTAGTAGACTTTAAAAAAATGAATATAGAAAAACAAATCAAAAAAAACTCGGACTTTTCCCGACGATGGATCTTTTGGACAGTTTTCTTTAGGGATTAAACTCCGATTAAAAATACTAAAAAGATTTTCTTTTGTTTTTTTGGATATTTAGGTAGTATCCCTTGGTTTTTCTTTGGGAGCTGATTCTTTTTCAAGGGTGTAGCTTGAACCAGGCATTTCTTTTTAGGAGTAGGATAGGAAGAAACCGAGTTGCTATGAGATACCTGTTGACATGTTTGGTGCGGGCACATTAGGCTATGGCATGCGGTCTGTCTTCCTGTATATTTCATTTGGATTGTGATGCCTAAAGTAAAATAAATAACCTACTATGTGATACTTTTTTCTCAGTTGTTTGACTTGTATGTCACTTAGTGCACTATTACTTAAAATTTCTCAACTATATGTGCTTACTTGACTTGAGAGTTGAACAGAACCATCTTGATTGAGTCATGTGCAATATGTGTGTGAGGATTTGTGTTATTATGTGCCATACTGTGTAGTTTAGAACTTGCCCCGTGTGTTAATCGAAGCGAAATCATTAAGTTGTGCTAGTCTAGGAGATGACGTAGGCGTTTCTTGCTTGATCATAGATATGCTTGTCACTTACAAAAAAAAAAGTTTCTCGTTGCTAGCTTCTTTGAGCCTATAGACCTTTTCTTTGGTACCCATACTACAAGCCGTATCCCTATTTTATTCTTAATTTGAGCTTGTTGAACCTTTACCTCCGAAGGAACTTAGCCGCTAAAAGAAGTAAGGTGAGAGATTTGGGAAGTAACTTTCGAGTGGAACCATGGAAGGGCCCATAAGGTACACTAAAGTTGTAAAAACTACCACTAGCAGATAAACCTTTATGTATGGAGTGTGTGTAGAAAAAAAAAGAGAGAAAAGAAAATTGCAAGAAAAAAAAATAGACAAATAATATTGATAGTCAAAAAGAAAAAAAAAACACATCTCCTAATCTTACTAATTCTTGCTAGTGGGGATGTAGAAGCGCTTAATTGAAGAACGGGATATGTTTTGTATGGTTTGTGGCGAGTGAATTGATTCAGAAGAATACATGTTTGATTCTTGAGTGTAGTGTATTAAAGTACTTAGGAGGGTTAGTCACTATTCCTAAATGTATCATACCCGTCCCTTAGCCTACATTACAGCCCATACAGTCCTACCTATACTTGGCGAGCTTAGATTAGTAGAGATGTACACTACGAGCAAGCTTATGGTACGACCATAGGATGCACATAAAATTCTTGTAAGAGTGAGCGACTTTTGTTCAATTATGTGATGTCCTTAATTTATGTTCAAAATCATATTTGAACGTGTGGACTATTTCTATATTTACTCTCTTGTTTGTTAGTAAGGGCACATGATCTCGTGACGGATTGGTAATGTTGTAAACTTCTCTTGTTGGGTGAGTGTGCGAGTTGAGGGTGCTTAGTGGTAATGAGTCGGCTCTTGAGATAGGGTGGTTATGGATAGGTTGTTTGAATTGGTTGAATTGCATTGTGTATACTTGGGAATGTTTAAAATGGGAAGAATATAAATTTTATATGTTCATGCTTGATTACCGGTATCGATTATAGTCAAAGGTAGACTGTATGATTGAAAAATTAAATTGCTCCTCCCTAGTTGAGATGTACAATGTTCCGGTATAGTTTATAGTTCCATTGCTCGAGGGCGAGCAAGAGTTTAAGTGTGGGGTGTTGATATTCGGCTTAAAGTATGTATATTTAAGTGCATAATGTCTCACATTTTACTCATGTTTCATAGATTTCGAATGTGTAATATAATGATTTGTGCTAATTAGTGATATTTTTATATATAGGAATCATCCCGAGGCAATTTGGGACGAATATACGTGAACTGAAGCGAAAAGAGGAAGAAATGAGAAAAAGCCACAAAGTAGCGTCACAGGTAGCATGGGGCGCTACCTGTGGCGCAATTTTCGGAAGTGCAAAATTCCCATTGCCAAGACTAGTGCCCTATGCTACCCTGGATGCTGGGTGACAGAAACTTGTCCTATTTTGTCTGGGACTTGATTATTTCGACCCAAGACGCCCCAACTCGTATAAAGCAAGTCTAAACCTATTTTGGAGGGAGAGATGTCACTTTGAGAGAGAAACACAAGTACGAAATACTCGGGAGCACGAAATTCATCAATTCTTCCATTCTTCTTCTAGTATTCATAACTTTTATATTTGAAAATAATATTTTGATGATTTTTATGAACATGAGTGGCTAAGAACCTCATTATTCTGGGGTTATAGGTCATTCTTGACTATTGTAAATTGACGGTTGATTGTTTTGCTTGAATTTATCATAGTAATTTATTTATTTAATCTTGTACTTAATTATTCTATTGCATAGCTAACAATAGAGTACTATTTATAAATTTATAGTTGAACTTGAAAGTGGGAACTATAGATTACATATAAGGTTGAATAGAATAAGTTCTTGAATCCGTGCATAGGAGAATAGATTCGTGATTAGGATAGACATATTCTAGTTGCGTTACTTGGTTATTTTTGTAGGAAATATATATACGTTCTTGTCAAGTTTGATTCTATAGACATATAGTCTTAGGTTGGCTTGAATAGGCGAGCGAAGCATCGAAAGAACTTCGCGCGCATAATAAAACCTGCTAATCAATAAATTAGATAAGTCAAGTGATTACCTCAACCTGAAAAGCGCAATAGGAGAGACATCAATCCCATAACCTGGAATATCCACATCTCATTGAATTCTTCCTAAGTGTTTGTTTGCTCTACTTGTGATCTTATTTTCTTGCTTGTTTATTAGTTAGCAGTAATTTAGTTACAAAAATCACAATCATCTTCTTAAGACTCACTTGAAAATTAAATTTATAAATAGCTTAGATTGCAAAATAGTTGATCATAAATTCTCGTGGGAACGATACTTCTGTTGACCGTGTATACTTGCGTGTGCGTTTGGACCCAACATACATAGTCATTGTAAAAGAGTTAAAAGACAACCCACATGAAACTCAAGATAAAAAGAGGGGAAATCATGGAATAACCTTTCATTTTGAACCTGTAAAAGTCATCTCCAAATATTAGCAACTTCTTTAACTTCTTTGAGTCCTTCCGTCCACTTTTAAATATTTTTAATCTATGCTTGATTATTATAAAAGCTAGACATTTTAACAAGGGATTCATAACAATGTAAAAATGAAACACCCAAACTTTGAACCTAAGTCAGGAGAATTCTACAATTTTTATAAATGCATATATAAATACAAAATATTTGTTTTTTATTTGTTCTGTACATTGTAATTTTCAGGGAAGAGAATTCAATTAAAACCTCTTCTCTAAAGGTTGTTGCGGCATGATTATGATCACAGTTCTCATTTGATTTATGACATATCAGATTGCTCAATATTGAAGAAAACAGAATCTATGCATCTCATGTAACTACAGTTTTACAGTATTGATGTATAGAAGCTACAGAGCACTACTTCAAGGTTGAGAAGGTAGCTAAATAAATTCATCATCTTTTTTTTCCTTTTTTTTTTATAATTTAGAAAAACCAATTTCATCTTAGCCTTTACCAATACGATAAGATGCAATTAGAAATACTAGATATTCAGAATGTAATGATAATAAAGTCTTGAAAGTTGAAGCACATCGCAAAATAATATTATTATCTTATTTAATATACATAGTTATTGCTAGATACATCCTACTTATATGTACTCGAACTAAAAACAATACAATAAATTGGTAGCGTTCCCTTGCAAAGT